TATATATATATAATACATACTGTATATACATGAATATAATATCTACAAATATAGTTATCTCATACATACAATACGTATATATATATATATATATGTGTAATATATGACATTATATGACTATATATTTATATGCGTGAAATCTCGTGAAATGCGACGGACACAGCCACATTCTGAACGGCGCCCAGCGCTTGGCCAAGCGTCGGCGTCCGCAGACGGGACGGCCGAGGTGAGGGGTGAGCCGTGATCACTCGTGGCGTTCACTTCCGCAGCGTGCTGCAACAACCTCGCCACGAGTGATGTCCACTGGGCTATGGTAAAATCCTGATGTAAAATATGGTAAAATGATGTAAAATGGATCACGTGTTTGTTCCTGGAAAATTTCACGTGCCCCCATTTTGGAAAATGATTGCGTCCGTGAGGCAGTTTGGCCACCTCCACGAAGCGGCTGCCCTTCTCAGCTGCGCACCACAGCAGAGGAGTGCGACCTTTGCCATCCCAGACCTGGCGTGCTGGCGCGAACTGGAAGCCACGGCCCATAGAAATAGATGATTGATGATGATTTCAATACGATGATCTAGCGTTCTTCAAAATGGTGATTCTTCAAAGCTAGGTTTAATTACCAGAGGGTATATTCTGCATTTGTGAAGATATGTGAAGATGCATCAGGAGGAAGAAAGTTTTTTCCCGTTTAGCGTCTTATAAACATCATGATCCTCAGCCGCGGATCAATTATCCTCATTTCGCGTGGCCTATGTGGCAGATGGTATTTCAAGTCGGAATAAATTAAAACTCTTTTAAAGCAAACCAGCGGATCCGCGATCCGCCATGTGATTCATATGAAACCTGTCAGGAGTCTAAGGGGAGATGGTTGCAGCAGCTAGTCACTTTTGTCCTGGCGTTGTATGTGAAGCTACAATCGTACATGGCAGGCATATAAGTGGAACACAAATGCTCTCAATTCTGGATGGTCAATCGCCCTTTTTGTGGGTCCAAACATATCAAATCTTCCAAAATCATAGTCGTTTGGGTTCACGGGGCAATAAGAATGGGTTGGGGTCCAGGAGTGTCTCTGTGCGACATTGTGCGAGAAAATGTCTGCATGGGCCAGAAAACATGGGAAAATAACAGACAAAATGTGGATCACGTGCTGCTCAGTCCTCTGGCCCACTTAGGGAAAAAAGGGAGCAACGTTCAATCCAAGCTTCCAACTTTTGAGAATCTCTTTGTGGTTTTCATTTACAGAAGCTAAACTCCAGCTGCAAGGATGGTTTCCCGCATCGGATGTTCGCCTGCATGGCTTTGGCCTCCAACAACTGTCGCACCGCCTCCGGTCCAGGGTCGCCCGGATGACATCAGAAACCAGTCTTCCAACCCCACTTTTTGGTATGTTTTTTGAAATGTGGTGTCAGTCTTTCGGGGAGTACACTTGCTGAAACATGACCCCCGTGAATTAATGAACTCAAGGGCTTACATCTTTCGTCTACAGAATCCTCCCAGGAATCGTAGAATCTGATTTCATTCATAGAGTGTATCTATTGAAAATGGATGAAACTGGTGTGTCTTCACTCTGCTATCTCTTGACATAGAAAGACAAAATACTGTAACACCAAGCATCACAACAGCTATGTCTATATCTATAAACCAATTATATATATATATACATCCCCCTTACATCCCCCTTTTCCCTCATGATTGCTGGTTAAATGCCCATTTAGGCCCTCAGCTCATGGCTAAAACAAGGCGTCACCTCTGGAAAGCCAGCCCTGGCCGCATATCCTGAAAGAGATGCCAGTCCGTTGCAAAACTGTCGGACATACAGTGCATGCAAATCAAGGTATGCACATGTATACATATAATGTACTATGATAAATCATATAATATGATATATCATAGCATAGATGTAATATCATGCATGTAATATCAATATCATATAAGCGTATTATATACATATAGGATGATATATGTATACAAATATATAATGTGAGTAATATGAGTTATATGAGATATATGTATTATATATAATTATATATAACTATATATAATTATGTGTATATATATATACATATTATCAGAAAAAAATACTCCGACTCCCAACTCCCAACTGTTGCTGCTGATGGCCACAACTTTCACTGAAGATTAAATGCCCCTTTATTATGGATACCTGGCTCCGATGATCCCATTTCAACCTCAATAGTCAATGGTTAGTAACCATATACCCCAGTAATACATGGGTTATGCATGGGTTATGCATGGGTCATTAACCACTCACAATGCCTGGGATGCACCTCCCCAGGGTCCCGGCCTAGCACTGTCATGCCCGCGTCATCACTGGTTTCAAAGTGTGCCTTCGCTGCCAGCAGCGTTGCAACTGCAGCAGTGGTGTGCGGCCCCGCACTGCAGGCAGCGATCAGTGCAGTGGAGCCATCTGGAGCTACCCTCTCCTGCCACTGGGTTGACTTTTAAGGGACATGTTGAGCGACATGTTGCAGGAAACCTTGGTGTTCCAATAGTTATATCACCAGTTCCCGTAAATCGTCCTAAAAAGTCCTCTTTAAACAAGGTCTAGGATCCTGGGGTTGTCCACAACCGCCCAATATTGAGCACCATCTGGTTGGTCATGTTCAGCCATCCCCCAAAACTACAGGCCATATTATGTATATATATATATATACCCTCTGGTTCTTTAACACAGCTATGTTAAAGAACCAGAGAGTAAATGTGACGAGTTGTTTGCAGTGGGTATGGAAAACTTTGGAAATGAGACCAGGTACTCTCCCCCAATCTCAAATTCCACACCAAATTGGCTTCCAAAATGAATAGATCTAATGCATTGAACCAGGGAAATCCTGTGCGGGTCCTTATCCGCCTTGGCGTGGAGGAGTAATCGGATCACCTGCAATGAGTTCCAGGTTGTTCCCCGAATCAGTTGGTTCATTTGAAGGGGAACAAGAAACCATGAGATGTTGAGCATCGAAATGAATTGCGCTACCAATTCCAGGGAAATATATTTGGCATCAAATTGGATGGAGATCACTGTGGCTTCGGATCCAATTCTGGGACGGTAGATGTGTTGCCCGTGTCAGCTCACTTGTGTTTTGTTCAGCCTAGTTGCTAGAGGATAGATTCATATCAGAAGCAGAACTTGTAGATATATGTGTGATTACACAAGTGTGCCCCAAAGAAAACACCAGAGAGATATAGATGAATCCTTTTGCCAGGTTTTGCCCAGAATTATCCTGAATCACTATGGCGACTGATCCTTCATTAGTGGTGATTGATTCATCAGCAATCATCCTTAATAACTACCTAACCATTAGGGCCGCAGCCTGCAGGGCGCCTCATCATGACCGTACTTGGCCGCCAGCCACAAGGGACACCTCTTCACCTTCGAAGAAAGGGTGGGGATCCGATGGGAGATGAAAATGACTGTAGTACTGAGAGCTACTTCGAAAGTGGGGATATATTGGGATAACCTTTGGGATAACCGTTGCGATAACCATGGTATTAAACCAGGGGTGGAAATAACCAGTGGGATATATTCGGATAGGCCAAATTCAGATGGGTTGAAAAAACACTTACAGGCATTCAAGTCCCTTAGGTCCCAAAGGAAGCGGGAACCGCACACCTGGGTGTCGTCAAAGTCGAAGAGATCAAAGTCTGGGTCAGAGTCGTCCTCCTCATCCTCTTCTTCCTGTTCCAAACTTCCAATACTTCGAAACTCAGAAAGCTGGTGTTATTCACCCAAACTAAACCGAGGAATGGATCGTTTCTTCAGTGCTTCCCATAGGTTTCCAGCACCAAACTCCACCGAGTTTGTACCTTCAAGGACATCTCAAGACTCAAGACACAATAGTCGGCTGCAAACACCAAGCCCACCTGGGTTTGACCATCGGGATTGGCCGTTGCTTCCAACGACCTCCTCACCACATCAATGGTTCCTGAAACCAGGGCGCAGAGCTTCTGACTTTGCCATCCCCAAAGTGGCTGACTTTGGGAATCTTTATGACCTGAAAAAGTGCCCTATCCCCATTTCTGCTGGTTATATCCTCATTAATCACCATCAAATCCCAATATATTCATCATGTTTTGCAGGCTCACTCTTGGCGCTGATTCAGGGATGGAATGAAGCAGGCGGTAATACCCAGGGAGTTGATTGCGAGCAGCTTTCAATGTCCAAAAGGACTGAAGACAACCTGTTTTATGTTCTTCTGGGATATTCATGGGAAATAATTGGATATAAATAAAAATGGGAACTTAATGGATATGAATGGGAAGTCAATGGATATGAATGGCATATCATTTTTTGCATGACAGCAAAAACGGACATGACACACTGATGTAGCCCGCACAATATCTTGATAACTCAAGACTCAAGAGTGGGGCACCAATATAACCACTTGAAGTTGCTCCCGTCCAAATATAGCAAATATTGAACTTCATAAACCATACAATTTTGAGAATAAATATATATATATATTGCGAATGGGGACAGCCCTTAATGATGGGGTGTAGATGTTCTTGTCCTCCAACGTGTAGTTCTTATTATTCCTGTTGTTGTCCTCCCAAGGCAGCAATGCACATGAACACACTTTTCCCCGTCGAGCGATAGCGTTGCTTGAGCCCAGTCAGCGGTAATGCGGAGCAAATAAGGAACTACCTAAAGGATCACTGTAACATGCATTCCAATCACACCCCCCATGCCCGGTGCTTCCCGACCATGGCGACGTCCATTGGTCGGGGCACCGAGCACAGGAGTAGGCGTCAGGTTGAAACAATTGGAATGTGTGATTGCTCTCTTCTACCGCTACCCTCGCTCTGTACGTAGCCATAAAAATTTGTAGGCCGTTGATCTAGCCTTCTAGGGGATTACGTACTCCCGGTCGGCGACGTCCGATCCGGTTTCCGTGCACCCTTCGAATTAGATCTATGGTTCGTATGCCCTTTCAAAAATCGTTCCCTTGCACCAGGAAATCTTCGCACCCTGGATGCATGAGATTCATATGAATTAGCCCGGCACTCAGAATCCTCTCATAAGATCTCTTCATTGACATAGATCTAGAGGAACTCATCTTTTGCGCCGCTTCTTGCCAGTGTCGGTCTCCTCGGTGCTCGCCGAAGCCTGTTCTTCTGCGGGTTGTTCATCACCAAGTGCTCGAACATATTGCCTGGCAATTTCACGTTCTGCAGGATCAAGAGATCGGAGACATGTAGCCATCTGTGCTTCGCTCTGTTGTACAGCTTTGAGCTTCCCTTGCCATACTTTGCGTAGTTGTTGAGGTAGCTCCAGGCCGATCTTGTTGAGCGTCACGAGGATGGTAAATGTTCTGCATCTTTCCGTCACTGCACACGCTAGTTCTACAGGATCAATATGAACATGATCGTCCCGTCGAGGTGGTGTGACACGAAAATAGTCGTAGGAACGCACGGCAAATGCACCGGAGATAATCTCCCTGACAAAGTCAGATGATTCCCGTCGTGCTTCTGCTTGCCGTTCGTCGTCCTCGTCTGTGTTGTCGGCAACCTTGGAGAAGATGAGCTGAGGGGTGATGCCAATCTGTATCAAGTACTTCATGATCTTGCAAAGCACTCAATGCCGTTCACTCCCTTCAAATAGGTTTCCAAATCGCGTCCGCCGATCTTTCCATTCTTAGCGTTCGCATGGAATGAAGCAATCAGCTGCGCTTCTGTTGGTTCTTTCAGTTCACCTTCTTCAGTTTCACCCACGTATGGAATGTATCCGTCAAACTCTGGGATGAGCCCGAGCCTCTTCACGTGGTCATGATACTGTTGTGCTGGTGCTACTGAAGTCCATAGATGAAATAGTCGATATCGATCTTTAAGGTAGCTCAGAATCATGCAGTCCATCGCGCGAGCTGTGCTGTCGATGGCGTCCTCATTCTGGGCGATGTCGATACATTGAATAAGTGAAGCTTGAATGATTCTCGTTGTCCACATAGGCAATCGCATTCTTGCTTCTCGACGCTCTTCATCTTGGTCTTGTTCTTTGGCAACCTTTTCATCTTCTTCTTCTTGTTGCTCTTTGGTGTTGTCCCCGAATACAACTTTCTGATCAGGTACATTGCGTCGACGTTCTTCTTCAGGTTTAACGTTCTCGTGGCTTGACTTGGCGTCGGTCATGTCAATGTCATCATCCGGAGCCTCTTCGGTGTTCTTCTTTGACTCCCTGACCAGTCTGTCAATCTCCTCCTGGTCCTCATTCTCCATCTCGACGTCATCGTCATTAGCATCTTGACCATCTCCACTTTCATGCCTTTCTCTTTCAGGCATTCCAGGGGCAGTGCTTTCATCTTTCTCTGCTTCTTTCTCCCCCCAGCTGACAAGCGTTCCATGGCATCTGATGCAGATGGATAGAATGTTTGGAGTCTCAGTTAGGCATGCTGGGCAAATCAAGTGTCCAGCTTCTCCCGGAGTGTAGTTCTCGGAAATGAACGTCACGATGTCGTTCCTCAACTCGCTGTTTGGGTCGAGGGCTCCATCGAGTGATTTAAGCTTTTCAACATCCTCGACGAACTTGTCGTAGAACGGGATGTTGTCCCCGCTGTCAATGTCGTCCAGCAAGGTTTTGGAGACACGAAGCACCGTCTTTGCCGTTGCAATTTCCTTTGGTTCTTGACATGATCTTACCAATTGAAACTTTCCAGAATCAACCACTAGTCGTTCCCAATCATAGTTGTTGTTCTGATACCACGCTGCGGTTACCTCAGAAAATGGAATGTTTCCATTCACCACCATTTGGCCAGATGCGTTGATCATGACTCCAAGACTCATGAGTCGATGAACGCTGAATGCAAGGACCATGCGAGGTTGTCCTAGGTGTGTTAATTGTCCTCCCAGGATCTCCCTGTATCGCTTGTCCCATGGTACAAATGGGTTGAGGAAAACTTGTGTTCGTCCTCCTCGGTGTCCACCAGGTCGTAAACCTTCCTTGATGATGCCGACCACATTCTTGAACTCGGTAACATGATAGCAGAACCAAATGTCGTCTGCGATCTTCGTTGTGATCGGGTGACAAATCTTGCAATAGTCAAGGCGAAAATCTGATCCACGGGCGGAAAATCCTCCAGGTGAACGCACAGCAATGGGTGCTAGGAAGACTTCACCGCGTTGTGCAATGAGATCATGGATGTCATCACCGACTCCCATGACCTTCCTGAGGTAATCATCGGGCTTGTCGAAGGTAGAGTCAAGAACAATGCATAGGAATTGGATGCGGATCTTGTTCTTCTCTTGGAACTCTGACCAAACAGTCTTGATCATGGTCTTGATGCGCTCCGCACGGAAGTCGACAGCAATCAGTCCGTCATCTTCCTCCTTGACCTGCTCGTGATCGAAGATCCAAGGGTTATGTAGGAATTCCATAATATCCACCCATCCAGCTTCATCACATCTGAGCCCGGGAAACGTTGTTACCCTTCTGCCAGAAGTTCTTTCCCACACTTCTCTTCGTCCGACGTGGTGTCTCAGGGCCTTGTTGAAGTAGTAGCTGTACGTCTTCTCCCAATCCTCCATGAAGACGCGGTTGTCTCTGGATTCGGTCGGTAGAGGATACTCCACTCCAGGTCCGACAAAGCGTTCGGAGTAGAACTTGCCACCGTTAACCGGAAGAATCTTGAGCTTCCCGATGTCCGTGCCGATGCTGAGCTTCCTGTACATCCTGTGATCGGAGTAAGGAACAGCCGACTTCATCTCTTTGCAAGTCATAGTGATGCCCCTTTGGCTGGCAGTGTCGACAATGTCGTTCAGCTCACCTTTTGATCTGGGGCCCTTCTCTTCGGCTCTCACTCCATTGATGCTCTTTTCTCCATGGGCACGGTCTCCAATGACTGAAAGTGGGATTGCTTGAAGGTACATGTACTCTCCAGCCCTGGTTGCTTTGTAGTTCTCCTGGCGGAAACGTTGCTCCTCGTCATCATCTCTTTTGGGAGCATCATTCTTCTCCACATCGTCACCCTGAAGTTTCTTCCTCAGGTTGATCAATGCTGACTTCACTGGATCATTGCCTTGCTTGGGACATTCATAGTTGGGATGGCCACTTTCACCACATTTTAGGCAGACGTTGTTGTCGTCCGCGAGGGCAAAGAGCGCGTTGATGGCCTCGACGATGGCACCCTTGTCCTGAGAGATCTGGAACTCCTCTTCAGGATTCGATGGAGATTTAGGTGCTCCGTGCATGTCCGGGGTGGTCGACGAACCTGCCCCTTCCGCACTAGCACCAGCTCCTCCGGTCGTCGGTCCTGGGGTGGTCGACGTACCATCCCCGGTCCTTGGACCTTCGGGCTCCATGTTGTCATCATTGGTGTCATCAGCCTTGGACCTCAGGTAGTTTTCGTTGATGACGCTGATCTCCTTGTCCTCAATCAGGCATGCATACTGCAATCCATGGTACATCGGGATGTCACGTAGGATCTGGTTCACCAACGTCTCCTCATAGTTGGTAGGTTCGGTGATCCTTGATCCACCTCTCTTCGTATTTGGAGTTGTGGTAGATCTTGTCGTTCCATGGAAGATGTTGATGGATGCTTCCAGGCCCGCAAGAAGCTCGCCTGGGTCGGCCTTTGTCTCCATGAATGTGATCTGGGACTTTGTCATGTTGGCCACATCCAACATTCCAAGCCACATTTCGACCACGTCCCCACATTTCTCGGCCGTTGCGTCAGCATATCCCATAACATCCGCGAAATCATCTCCGAGCACCATCTTGAGGTAGTCCTTGCAGAAGACATTCCCATAGTCCTTGGTGACACGATATGCAAATCGTTCATGGGCATCATTGCCTTCACCCAAAGTGAACTCCTCTCGGATGACACCGTATTGTCTTCCGCGTTTCCCAACGAAGATCTGTTTGACTCGATCTCTGGGAACTCTGACCATACCAAAGTGCGACAGCGCTTTCATGAGGATCTCACCGTGCTCGCAACCTTTGTTGCCCACCATCGATTTGGTGATGTCCTTGAGGAACTGCACGAAGTCCTTCTGAGGGTCTGTCACTGGGTTGCCTGATTCCATCATGATGTTGAAGAATGCACGGGATCGCGCCGCCGTTTTCACGATCGTCTTCCTCTGGCATTCTGGCGGCCAAAGTTGGTAGTCCCTCATCGTCTCGCTTGCTCGGCAAGCGATGCATTCTTTTCCATAGTTGAAGTCTTGCCTCAGTTGATCAGTCGGCATAACTTCATCATCATCCCCGAGATAATGTCCTTGACATAGAATCATCTCATCTCGCCCATGGTTGACGTAGAACCACATGTCATACATGTTTGCCGATGGCTCAGGAAGAACCGATCTGACCGTGGCCTCGATCCATGGTGCCTTCTCATACTCGACGTTTGATCTTCTTCTTCCACCTCCAACGGTACCTGGGCGTGTTGATTCCGTGCTCGCGGTGTCAGGTACTCCGCCTCCTGTTCCAATTTGAATTGAAAGAGGTTCTTTGAGCACATCCTCCATCAGCTCCAGGTTGATGCCGACCTTCATGGAAGATTCCCTCACCATGTCATTCAATCCCTTCGCAGCTTCGACGTTGAGGGAACACATCAACAACACCCTCTGTCGAAACAAGAACTTCTCCATGGTGGCGAAGACTCCCAATCTTTCCGGCCTATTTTGATTGTTCATATAGTGATTGCCGGCATGACCATACATCAATCGCCACATCCCATCATCAGTCGTAACCATGATTCCAAAGCTCCTCAGGATGTCGGCAGAATCAATGGCGATATCCTGGATGCCCGATCGGATACCATGAAATCTTGGATCTTTGCAGAGTGATACAAAGATTGGTCTCGTTGCCAACTTGTCGACTCTTCGGATCGCCTCGGCGAGCCTCTCTGCATAGTTCCTCTCAACCCAAACGTGGTATGGATGAGTGTCCGTGATGAGGAATGCAAAAGATATCCAGAAATGAATGGTCACATTCTCCTCGACAATAATGTTTGGCATCACGCTCTTGATCAAGTGCTCGACTGCATCGAGGAACTTCTGGGCTCTGGTCACGCTCTTGAAGCTGTTGATGTCAATGACCGTGACGACATATCCCATCTCATCGAGCCCATACTGGATGTTCGTTGTTCCCCCTGAGTTCGCTTGGCACTTGTAGTTGAGATCCGTGATCAAAATGGTCTTGCCAAACCTGAACTTTCCTGCCAATTCATCTTTCTCCTTCCTCACCATTGGCTTATCCACAATGGTCCCACCGATGCCTGACATCAGGCCTCGCTTCCACTTGTCGTAGCTGCGATCGGTGGCCCGTGCATCATCGTTCTTCTCCACCATGACCGTCATGGATCCAACAGAGAGGTAGTAGTTCTGGTAAACCAACCCCCCACGCTTTGTCGCAGCGTTGTAGATCCTCAACCATTCCATGTCGCTGTATGGGTAGGATGCTTCACCAATCTCTCTTGCATTGGCGAGTCCAAAGCATAAGCAGGTGTATGTAGCTACCCTCCTGAGATATTGACGCCAAGTTGATTGTACATTGTGCGCCATTGGTCCTTGGACATGCGACAAGGCAAACTCGGTGTCGGTAGTGCACACAAGGGAATTCAAGATTGATCTCACCTGAGTTCCCGTGTAGTCCGTCAACACTCTGCAGTAGGTGATCACGTTTGACGGTGTCATTGGTGGGACGTAGTCCGCTGCTGGAGTGTCACGCCTTGGCATTGGTTTCGCCGCAGGCTTGGGTGCCGCCTGTGGCGGTGGCGGTCCAGCTGAACTTGACGCTTGAGATCCTGATGCTCTCGGTCCTGGTGGTGCCGATGGTGATGTCGGTCTTGCCTTCGGCGGTGGTGGTTGAGCCGATGGGTAAGGCTGTGGTGGTGCCTTGTATCCAGGTGGTGGCGTAGGAGGTGGCTTCGGCGTGAACCTGTTGACCCTTGGTGCAGGCACTGTTGGGTCCTGGATCGTGACCCATTCAGGAATCCACGACCTCGGCGGTTCTGGTGGCCAAACTCCGTCACCAAACTTCAAGACTTTTCTCCATCCGCTTGCAGCCACTTGTACACCAGGTTGTCCTCCACCAGCCTGAGTCTCAGAGAGGGTTGTCATGAAATCCCTCAAGGCAGAAAAGCATTTGTTTCTTTTCTTGATCTCACCGTGGTTGCCCTCCTCAACGTTGATGACATTGTAGCCATGGTTCTGCAAGATTTCTGAAGTGAGCATCAGAGATTGTTGAATCTTGGCAAAATAGTCGTCAATCTTCCTGACGTTCGCCCTTGCAATCTCAGAAAAGTGCCACAACCTATCCAGCTTCGCCCTGGCCCTGAAGATCGGTGGCGATAGAGCCAAAATGCAGGTGAAGTGATTCACTGCGGCAGCTCGTTCGCGGCCCAACTTGGTATTCTGCTCGATGAGGTCATTGATCGTTGTCTCCAACGTCATAGGATCTAACATCTCTCCCTCATCGTCGACCTTTTGGTTGTAGCATCTCCATGCATGCCCAAGATGGATAACTTGACGTTGCCACTCATCGAGCATCGCATTGAATGTGTTCTGGGTTGATGTCGACTGCCAGGTCGTGCCCATGTCGAAGTAGTGGAGCTCTCGATGAATCGCTCTAAACGAGATGGTGATGGGTGCGTCAGGGACGGATGGATTGAGAACTCCGTACTTCTTCCTCGTTGCACTCAGCCAAGTATCCTCTGCTGGGACAGATTGGTTCACACCTCGTAGGTCACCTCCGAAAGGTCGAAGCTTGAATTCACGAAGGTGATCACGTAGCATCGAGAGCGTAAATGCTCCATCGGTTCGAATTGGGTGAGGTACGTGGAAGTTCTTGATGCATTCCCACATGTTTCCCAATCCATTGATGCATTCCGACGTGCAAAACCCAAGAACTTTGTGATTGCTCCGAGATGCCAGTTGAACAAAGGTCTTCATGTAGGTGGTGCACTTGTCCAAGAATCTTTTAGCTCCAGTGTTGAGCTCCTCCTGGTTCTTGATCAGTTCCAGGAGCTGGAGGTACAGTGTGATCGCCTCCACCCCGGACCGGTTCGATGGCACCTTCCCCAAGTAGCAGGCTGAAGCCGCCGCGATCGGACTAATTCCAATCGCATGCCACTTGTTGACCGTCACGTCAGGCTGGCTGTTGATGGTCGGGTCATACTCCTTGTACATGGCTGGAATGACACTTTGTCTGCCATTCTCCCTCAACGTGATGAGGATCTTGCCGATGTCGTTGAGATCATGTTGCGCAGAACCAATGATCTGCGTGTAGTTCGACATGGCAACCTTACCGGTCGGTTCACTTACTCCTGGTCGGCGACGTCCGATCCAGTTTCGGTTCCCCTGTCCGGAGGTGCACAGCGAGTGAGCCCTTTCGAGATCACGTACTTCCGGTCGGCGACGTCCGAACCGGTTTCCGATCACTCGTCCGGTGTCACACGATGGGTGAGAAGCCGCAAAAGCCTTGCAAGATTGACTTCCCGTAGTTTGATGTCCTGAGAAATCAGGGTCAACATTGATCCGACATCTGTTCTTGTGAAACATCATCAACCACAGGAGATCTGCTGCAACTTCATCATTGTTGTATGCAACTGATACCGCTGTCTTCTTGATGGAACGTCTATCGTGCATGCAACTGCTGCATGTGTCATCTTCACTTGACAACGACTTCTTGAACCGAATAGACACATTCCGACATATCGTTTTCAAGATGATGTCGACGATCTGCTGGGTGTAGGTCTGAGTGACCTTTGTTTCACGACCTTCACACTTTCCATGATCATGTCTTCGGTCACATTTCTTGTGCAAATCAAACTTGACCCCCCACGATACAATCCTCCACGGCTTCTTAATAGGTATATGACGATCATCAAACTGTGTCTTCAGACCATACATACATCCGTCAAAGTCATGGACATGTGAGTCTGTACCCTCAATCATGCACTTCATCCGTTCATCATGCCAATAGTCGCAACCTCTTGGTAATTCCAGTAGTGCCATGGCATCCAACTTGATCACTTTCAGAAGACAATTTGAAAACTCTTCCCATAACTTCCAGTATAGACGTGCTTTGGCGTTGATCAAATGAGCAGTAAGCCAACTGACTCTTTTGTTCAGCCTGTTCCATGGAGATCCGCCTGTGCAAGGTCCAGCGAAGAAGACGCAATCCTTGTTGCTGCGGAGGCATCTCCTCCACTTCGCACTCCCATATCTGGAGAGAAGGTCATCATCCTCTGTAATCAATTCCAGATGAATAGATGCATCCATAATTGCACTGTATCTCTTTGTCATCAAACTTGAAGGCTCAGCACACATCAATATCATAGCGGGTGTACTCTCGGGCAACTCTTGCAATGTAATAGTGACGTTCTTTCCCAAATATTTTGTACTCTCAAGATCGGGAATAGATCTGACGAACGTATACTTCAAGCATTGCCCATTGTCACGAACCAATAATAGATTGATCATACTGTCCGCAAATATGTTCAACCAATTGTCATTCTTGTTCTCTTCGATCATCATCCGATATGTGTGGGGAATAAATATTTTGTTCGGTGAAATGATGTCCAGACCCATGGCGTGAACACAAGCCATCAGATTATCATCCATAATGCAACTCGCAATCGGAAGAACCTCCTGATGTCTCAACACGCGAAAGATAGACTTTCCAGTCCAGAACTCGTTTCTATTGTTTGACCTTTCTCCATTATCACCAGGGAGACGCCAATTACTTTTGTCCACCCTCACATTCGACTGGAACTTCAATTGAGTTTCTCTCCAATCTTGAATCAAACGATGATCACAGGGACAGTCTTCACAATCACTTGGAACGAACATTTCTCTTCTTGGTATATTGTGGATCCTTTCCAGAACATGATCACCTATCCATCTCCATTCATCACGAACAGGAACTTCATCATGACCACATTCAGTTGCTGATGCTACTTTCTTGGTGTTTCTTCTCCGTATATGCGATTTTGTTGACTGTAAACTCTTTGTTTTGGAACATGGCGACTTTGAATCCTCCATGCCTCTCCCCCCATGAACAAGGCGTACTAGGGCATTGATCACCCTTATAGTCATGGGATGTCCGTCATGCAACGTAAACGGAATCTTCTGAGTACGTTGAGCTTGTTCAAAGAGTATTTCAGTACTGAATGTGAGGCTCGGATGATTGTCCAGTTCAAACGTCGCCGCACGTGAGAACTGTTCTCTGGCCACCGTCGACGCACATGCGGGCAGTGAGACAATCGGAGCGGAAGTGGGATAATGATATTGAAAACATGCCCTTTCAATCCATTTGTCAAAACGTGATTGTTGTAACAATGGTGGAACACGATCCTCAACTCGTTCCCACTTCCCGTGGACTAAGATCCAGGTGCTCCGAAGGCAATCTGCAGGAAGTTTGACACCAGCTGGTCTTGTTCTGAACAATGTAGGGGTTTTGACCACAAAGATAGGATCCATACCAGGTAGCTCTTGAAGCTTTTCTCGACTTGAAAGACCCTTACGGTACACCTCAGGTGGCAGTATGGGTGTTTCAGTGTATGGAAAATTGGGAACCTCATCTGTCCTTGACTGAAAAACTTGACGAACTGTAGTGTCAACATCCGTAGTGGGCTGCACTAGGTCTGCCAATTGCTTCGAACCAAGGTCTTCGGGTTCCAAAAGATTGATCAACATGCATGCCTTTTTCCAGGCAAGTGGGTTTGTAAAACCTTTTGTGTGGATGTCCGCGGCCATCTTCGCTGTGATCTCATACATGAGAACAAAGTGATCTTTGCTGAAATGCTCATGTAATGACGTAATAGAAATTCCATGAGTCCTTTCCAAATGCCGCATTGTTGGATTCCTTCCAGAACGAACCACACCAATCATCCCTTGGTTGTCGTCATGAAACAACAGCTTGGGAGAAGATTCTGTAAGCGTTTCCCAAATACTGAGTGCAGGAAGACCCAGTGTTCGAAGGGTTACATCAGCGGCTACAATCTCAGCTTCAGGTGTAGAATGGCTCACACACCCCTGGCGCTTGCTTCCACCAGCTAACGGAAACCGAGTATGCTTCCCCTGAATATGCATATGAGAACCTGATGTGGACCTCAAAGATTGTGCACATCCCGCAAAGTCAGCATCTGCATATAACGCAATGGATAGATCTTTCATGTCATTTCCGACCCATCCAATCATTCTCTTCCCTAAGGTAGAGTTGACATAGCACATGAG